GCCATGGGCGCCCTGGGGGTGCTGCTGGGACTGGGGACCTGGAGGTGACACCGGGGCTGGCAGCGAGGTGGCCCTGCCGTAAGCACGCACAGACTTTCCCCGTTTCATTTATTTTTGCGTTGCGACTTGCACAAAAATTCCCAGCTTGGCTGGGCGCCTGGAAATGGGATGAAGCAACAAGTCTCCCCCGTGGCGATCCCAAATCTCCTCCGGAACATCCGGCACCTCCTCCCCGGTGCCTGCGAGGGGAGGCTGGGCGGCCGGTGGAGCCCCAGGGACCCCGTCCTTGGGAGCCGGAGGCCTCAGCCCCATCCTGGGGGGGTCAAGCAGGACCAGGGACCCCTGCTCCCCCTTGGATCCCCCGCAGTCCTGCAGTGCTGTTCCCGGTGTTGCCCGGGATATCGGCCTGGGATGCTCGTTCCGGGGGGACGCTGGGGGAAGGTGTCACTGCGGTCTCAGTCCCTTGGACCGATCTGCAAGGAGAGGACAAACAAGCGATGGGCAGGAAGCCCTGGGGCTCGTCCCCCCAGCGGGGAGGGGGCTGCCGCGGGCGCCTCACGTCACCTCCAGGGACGTCCTCACGGCCGCGAGCTTGAAGGTGACGCGGCGCCACTCCTCGGGACACACAGCCCGCAGCTCCTCGGGTCTCATGTGCAGCAGCTGGTGGCCGGAGAGGCCCCGGAGGCACTTCGCGGCGCCACTCCTCGGGACATACAGCCCGCAGCTCCTCGGATCTCATGTGCAGCAGCTGGTGGCCGGAGAGGACCCCGAGGCACTTCACCGTCCTGGGATGGGGGGACGCAGGTGGCCCCCCGGACAGACACCCGGTAAGACCCTGAGCTCGGCCAGGCGCGGGGGCAGCCCCCGCTGGTGTCTGAAGCTCTGCAGGATGGGGAGAGGGGACGCGGGGGAGGCGCTGGGGACAACGTACAGGCGCGAGAAGCCCTTGTCCTGCAGCCACGCTGTCACCTCCGCCGGCGAGGAGCCGGGGTGCAGGACGGGGGGGCTGCCCTGCGGGAGCGAGAAGGTCCAGGGAGCCCCAGGGGCAGTGTGGGGGGGTCCCGCTCTGCTGGACCCCCCCAGTCCCCTCCTGTGGCACAAGGAGGGGAACCCACCTGGTTCACGGTGTCCTGGGCCCTGGGCCCCAACCCCGGGGCTTCCAGGATGCTGCTGGGGACGTAGCCCTTGTCCCCATGGCTGTTCTGCACCAGCCACCACTTCTTCCTCTGGTCCAGCACCTAGGGCATGCGGTGACACTCGGGACGCCCGTGTGTCCCCAGTGCCTTGTTTGTCCCCTCCCATCAGGGGCTCCCATAGCGAGGGGAGTCCTGGGCGCGCTGTCCCCTCGGTGATGGTACCTGCAGCACGTCCCCTCTCCGCACCGTCAGCTCCTGCGCGTTCCTGCCCTGGAACTCGTCCTGCGCCTGCACCAGCTCCCGGGCGGGGAAGGGGGGGCTGCAGGGCACAAAACAGCCCTGAGACCCTCCCCAGAATGTCCCCGTGTCCCTCCCTACGTGCCCTTTCCTGGAGCTTCCTTGGGCATCCATGGGCACCGGCACTTACCCCTGCATGGGGCTGTCCCTGTGGCTGGTGGCGGGTGCCTGCAAGGGGGACCTGTGGTCAGAGCGCTCTGGGGACACCGACAGCGCGTCCCCCCCATGGCACCAGCACTTACCAGGCAGGGGTGCCCCCAGCAGCAGCATCCGTGGCGGCAGCCACCCATCGGAGAAGACTGGGATATAAGCGGGCACGCTGTGGCCCTCCGGGTGCTCGGCCCTGCCGGCAAGGGGAAAGCAGGGCGCTTATCCCGGCTTTTGTTGGGAGAAGACATTTCCCCTCTCCGGAGCTACCGACCAGCCTACCGGGTCATGGTCCAGGCCGGGCCCAGGCCCTGCCAGGTGTCGTGGTGCTGCCTGTGCAGCGTCTCCTCTAGCAGCTCCACGGCCGCCGGGATGAGCAGCGGGCTCTGCACCGAGGCCGCCAGGTTCCCGTGGGGACAGTGGCCCAAAACCTGCTCGGGACGTGGGGATGTGAGAAGAGGGGTCCCAAGGGCTCTCTGTTCTCCCTGCGACCTCCCAAAATGAACTCACAAAGGTCAAGGCCTCGAAGATGGAGGGCAGCAGCTCGGTGCTGCTCGGATGCTCCAGGCTCCAGCGGAGTTTGCCCTGCGGGAAGTGCCCGAGGAGCAGGCGGGGGGTGATTGTGCCCCAGGACAACCCCCCACCCCAGGGTGTTGCCTCGTGGCCTCTGCAGAGCCCCATCCTCCTGCTATCCCCATCCCGCCAGCCTGGAACCACTGGGATGCTCCTTGGTGATCCGGTACCACCGGGATGCTCCTAGGGGTTTGGGTACCACTGCCTTGCTGGTGGGGTGCTGATACCACCAGGATGCAGAGATGCAGGATGAGGTCTCCAGAAGGGGATGGGGGGACACAAAGGGACAAAAGCCCCCCAGGACCCATCAACACCCCCTTGCACCTACCAGAAGGTTGAGAGCATATTTAATCTTCTGGAAGAAGTCCCTGTAATCGGCCTCGGGTGGGAAAACTGGAAGGGTGGAGAGAGAGAGAGGTGGCACCAGGGGGGTCACAGCTGGCCGTGCTGTGTCCCCTCCCCTCCTTGGCAGAGCCTTTTCTCTTACTTTTCCCTTTTTTTTTCTTCTTCCAGAGGCTCTTGGTGTTGGCCGAGCTCACGGCCGCCTGCACCCGCTGCACGAAGAGCTCCAGGTCGCCCAGCACGTGGTTGAGGACGTCCTGGGGGAC